TCTTTATATTGTATTCTTTATTTCTATTTTATTGATTCCAGCCCTCAGTTTGATTATTTCTTGCCATCTACTCCTCTTGGGTGTGCTTATGTTTTTTTGTTGTTGTTCTAGAGCTTTCAGGTGTGCTGTTAAGTTGCTATATGAGATCTCTCTATTTTTTTTAATGCAGTCACTTAGTGCCATGAACTTTCCACTTAGCACTGCTTTCATTTTGTCCCATAAGTTTGAGTATGCTGTGTATTCATTTTCATTCAGTTCTGGAAAGTTTTTAGTTTCTTTCTTTCTTTTTGTCTTGACCTATTTTTCATTCAGTAGAGAGTTGTTCAGTTTCCATGAGTTTGTAAGTTTTCTGTTGTTTCTGAAATCCAGCTTTAATCCATGGTGGTCTGATAGGATGCAGGGAGTTATTTCAATTTTCTTGTGAGATTTGCTTTGTCTATGAGACTTGCTTTATCTGTGAGACTTGTTTTATGTCCAAGTATGTGGCCAATTTTGGAGAAAGTTCCATAAGGTGCAGAGAAGAAGGTACATTCTTTTGTGTTTGGGTGAAATGTTCTGTAAATATCTGTTAGGTCCATTTGGTTTATAACATCTATTAGGTCCAGTATTTCTCTGTGTAGTTTTTGTCTAGATGACCTGTCCATTGGTGAGAGTGAGTGTCTTAGTTAGGGTTTCTATTGCTGTGAAGAGACACCATGGCAACTATTATAAAGAAAAACATTTAACTGGGGCTGGCTTACAGTTTCAGAGGTTTAGTCCATTATCTTCATGGTTGCATGCAGGCAGACATGGTGCTGGAGAAGGAGCTGAGAGTTCTATATCTTTTTTTTTTTTTCAGAGCTGAGGACTGAACCCAGGGCCTTGCACTTGCTAGACAAGTGCTCTACCGCTGAGCTAAATCCCCAACCCCAAGAGTTCTATATCTTGATCCGCAGGCAGCAGAAACAACTACATTCCCCACTGGGTGTAGCTTGAACATATAAGACTTTAAAGCTCACCATTCAGTGATACACTTACTCCGACAAGGACACACCCACTCCAACAAGGCTATGCCTCCTAATAGTGCCACTCCCTATGGGCCAAGCATTAAAACACATGAGTCTATGTGGGCCATATTTAAACCACGGGAGTGTGGTATTGAAGTCTCCCCACTATCAATGTGCATGTGTCAATATGTGATTTAAGCTGTAGGGGTGTTTCTTCTACAAACTTGGGTGCCCTTGTATTTGGGGTATAATATGTCATCTTGGTGGATTTTTCCTTTGATGAGTATATATATTTCTTTTTATTAGTTTTGGTTTGAAGTCTATTTTGTTAGATATTAAAATGGCTACACCAGCTTGCTTCTTAGGTCCATTTACTTGGAATATCTTTTTCCAACCCTTTACTTTGAGGTAATGTCTATCTTCAATGTTGAAGTGTGTTTCTTGGATGTAGCGGAATGATGGAACCTGTTTTTGTATCCATTCTGTTCGTCTGTGTCTTTTTATTAGGTAATTGAGACTATTTATAGTCTGTGTCTTTTTATTGGGTAATTGAGACCATTGATATTGAGAGATATCAGTGAATAACCATTACTGATTCCTATTGTTCCTATTGTTTTGTTGTTATTGGTGGTGCTGTGTGTGTGAGTGAGTGAGAGTGTCTGCTTCCTTTTTTTTTTTTTTTTTTGGTTTTACTGTTGTGAGATTATTTATTTCCTGTGTCTTCATGGGTATTGTTAACATCCTGAGGTTGGAGTTTTCCTTCTACCCTCTTCTGTAGGGCTGTATTTAGAGATAGATGTTGTTTAAATTTGACTTTATCATGGATATCTTATTTTCTCCATCTGTGGTGATTGAAAGTTTTGCTGGGTGTAGTAGTCTAGGTCTGTGGTCTTTTAGAGTCTGCAGCACATCTGTCCAGGCCCTTCTGGCTTTTAGAGTCTCCATTGAGAAGTCAGGTGTAATTCTAATAGGCCTACATTTATATGTTACTTGGTCTTTTCCCCTTGCAGCTTCTAATAGTCTTTCTTTGTTCTATATGTTTTGTGTTTTGATTATTATGTGGTGAGGGGACTTTCTTTTCTTTATAGGCATTTCTTTATCTTAGAAAAATTTTCTTCTATGATATTGTTAAAAATGTTTTCTAGGCCTTTGACCTGGGTTTCTTTTCCTTCCTCTATTCCTATTTTTCTTAGGTTTGGTCTTTTCACAGTGTTCCAGATTTCCTATATGTTTGTGTCAGGAATTTCTAAAATTTGATATTTTCTTTGACTGATATATCCATTTCTTCTATCATATCTTCAATGCCTGAGTTTCTCTCTTCCATCTTTTATACTCTGTTGGTGAAGCTTGGCTCTGTAGTTCCTGTTCAAATTCTTACAATTTTCATTTTCAGAATTCCTTCAGTTTATGTTTTCTTTATTGATTCTATTTCCATTTGCAGGTCTTGAACAGTTTGTGTACTTTTTCAACTCTTTGTGTTTTCTTGGCTTTCTTTAAGGGGTTTATTTATTTCCTCTTTAAGGACTTCTATCATCTTCATATAGTTGGTTTTAAGGTCATTTTCAGGTGTTTCAGCTATGTTGGAATATTCATTGTCTGCTGTGGTAGATAGTTTGGCTGTAGTGGAGACATATTGCCCTGACTGTTAGTGATTGTGTTTTTACACTGGCTTTCTTAGGCATCTGGGTTTGGGGTGATTATAGGTCTAGGTGCTGATTTTTTTTTGTTGTTGTTGGGTGGATGTTTTGCTCATTGTATTTTTTTTATTTCCTCTCTGGATTTTCAGAGAGAGTAATAGTTGTGTGTTGCCTGTTTTCCTGGCCTACTGAGCTGGTATGTTCACAGTGAATGCCTGCTGGTGTTGGAGGCTGGGATATTGGGATGAGTTGGGGTAAGGAAACTTGGGGGAGAAGGTCTTTGTGACCTGTTGGGGATGGGGGTCAAAGATGAAAGGAAGATATCAGTGGATTTCTTGCTATAGAGGTGGGGATGGGACTGGGGGTACTGGCTCTCAGGAGCAGAAGGAGAAGTCTAGGTCAGTCTTAAGTCTACTTGTCCTGGGAGGAGCTGCCCTTGGTTGCCTGCTAGGGTTGTGGTCTGGGACAAAGCAATAAGTTAGGGGAGGAATGTTAGAAGGGAAGAGATGTGGGATCCACAGGAGGTAGCAACAGGAGGGCAGAGAAGGCTGCCATGGGTGTTATGCTGCAGCGTTGGGGATGAGTCTAGGGGAACAGAAAGAGAAGGTCTGCAGGCAGTCTACCTGGCTTCCTGTCAGATGTGGCCTGTGGGCTAGCAGGGGTACCTGCTGGAGTTCAGGGCTGGGATAAAGTGACTGAGTTGGGGGAACATTAGGAGGAGATGGACTTTGGGATCCACAGGAGATGTGGGCAGGGTGAAGGAAGCTGGTGTTCTGTTGCAGCTCTGGGGATGAGACTGGGAGATTGGATTTGGAGGGGAAGAGGGAGTAGTGGGGGGTTCTTCAGTTGGCTTACCTGTTTCCCTGTTCTGCTAAGCTGGTGTGTCTGCTGGTATTGGAGGCAGGGATACTGGGAGGAGTTGGGGGAAGGAAGGTTGGGGGAGAAGATCTTTGTGACCCATTGGGGATGGGGTCAGTGAGGAAAAGGAGACTGTAGTGGGTTTCAGCTGCAAAGCTGGGCATGAGACTCCATATAAGAAAACAATTTAGAAATGTCATAAAGGTAGTTGGCAAGTATGCCAGAATGACAGACATTTCAAAAGACACTGACAAAAAGATGAAGTAATTAAAGTCTGAATCATTTGGCAAAAAAAAAGTCAGACTTTGACTATTATAAACATCACTAATCTTGGGATGGAGAGCTGACTCAGCAGGTAAAGGACCTTGCCTCCAATCCTGATGATCTGAGTTTGACCCCTACATCCCAACATGATAGATGAGGAGAGTCAGCTTCCACAAGTTGTCCTTTGACCTTCTCATGTGCTTCATGCATGTGCATGCACACACACAATAAATAAATACATGTAATAAAAGTTTTTTAAAATCACTTATCTTATAGTCTAGTCTTGAAAGCAGTATGAGATCAAAGATGGTCCTAACTTGCTGTCGTATGAATTGTTACACAGGTACTCCCTGTAGTCCTACAATCCCAATTATAACCGATATTTTGTTAAATAAAAGGCAACCCATACTTATTTTCATAATTTCTAATTTAATTTCTGATGTTGAAGTCTTGGTCAAACCCATTATTTACTATGAACTTCTGGTTCTCATTGAAAAATGGATTCAGTTATGATGGCCATTTCCTGGTACCATCTGTACTTCGAGGGTTTGAAGTCATGGCCTGTGGTACCCACAATATTTAGAGATCTCTTCAAAGTGTAGAGTTAGCAAGGAGGAGTGAGTAAGCAGGGAAGGCTCCCTGGAAGAGGCAGTGCCAAGGTGTTCAGGTTGGGGCTTTAGTAACGGAGGTGGCTGGAGGCCAAGGCATTTCTTCTCAAGGCTGCCAGTGAGATAGCCTGGGCTTTAGGGATTCAGATCCCTGGGTTCTCTCCTACTTGCTGTGTGAACTAGGAAAAATTACTTCTCTCTTTGATTTCTTCTTTGAAAATTTATACATAGGGAAAAGTCAGTATATGATATGTCTAAGTTATGATAGGCTAATAAAGACATCTGTGTTCTACCCCCTTCCTTGCAGAGGAATAAGAATAGCACAGGTAAAGACCTTTACCTGTGGTTGGTCAGCTTCAGCTGGTTTTGAAGTTGCCCCTTGTACTGGGGAGTTGTCAGTAAGAACCTAGACACATTAACCAGCTGTAAAAGAAGGGCCACTTCGAAAGCTTGAAAGCAGGCTCTTCTTTGTTAATGTTCACTTGCTGCTTCATGACAGAGGGTTCATGTAAGTGACAGTGATGGAGGACCCAGGGACAGAAGAGCAATACTAACTAGCTGGAGAGCTTTGCCCTGGAGAATTCAAGGGAAGAGATGGCCACACCTCCTGGTTATACAACAGGAAAACAGCAACAGGGAACAAGTGGTAGTTTTCTAATCTTTTAATTCAGAGAATAGAAAAGAATTTTGCAACAATCAGCAGTTAATTTACTGTGACTCACACACTCTGCATGTCTCAGACAAGGGCCCGTTGTCAGTACCACCATTTTCTGGATGAGGACCCTGAGGCTGAGTCATTTGGCCAAGGCCTCAGAGCTCTTGATGGAAATCCAGGTCTTATTCTCACTAGTTCCAGTTAGTTCAGATTCCTCCTGGCTAGTCATCCTAAACAGTATACCTGTCTCACGGTGACCAAGCAGTTACAGTTCTTCTAATTGCCTCATGGATTGCCCTTTACTTAAAGAGTAACTGACCACTGGTAGTGTGTTCTTGCTTGTTTACAAAGCTTAGTTAAATCGGAGGGGAGGCATTTATGTTGGCAGAAGAATGAGGATAGATGAAGACAAATGAAAATGTCAGTCAGTGAAGTCACTGTTTATTCATCAAACAATCAAATATTTATTTAGAAATGCTCTGTATTAAATAATGCTTGGAATAAAAAAATGATACTTTGAAAGGATCCCTCATTTATTATGAGATCTAAAATGTCAAATGATAGCTAGGCTTGGTGGCATACTTTTTAAATTACAGCAGTTAGGCAGACTGCTGTATGAGTTCAAGGAAAGCCCATTCTACACTGTGAGTTCCAGGCCAGCCAAAGCCACCGTAGTGAGACCCTGTCTTAAACAAAAACCACTACAAAAATACTCCCCAAACACCAAGCCTCACAAAACCCACAAACTTTCCCAAACAAAAAGACGTGTGGTTTTACATGTGATAAGTACTTATAATTATCATCTTTACAGAACTTAAAATCATCTTGAAATAAAATTTCAGTGGGGAATTGGCCTATGAGGGATTTTTATTAAGTATGTTAATGAGGTGGCAAGACCCACTCTGAATGTGAGTGGCACAATTCCATGATTGTACAAGAGTAGAGAAAGCTAGCTGAACATTAAATAGGCATGCATTAATTTCTCTTGGCACCTGGCTGCGGATGTGATGTGACCAAACATTTTAAGTTCCTGATGCCTTGACTTTTCTGCTATAAATTGTGATATGGAACTGTGAGTAAACCCTTCCCTAAATTGCTTTATGACAGGGTCTTTTATCACAGGGACAGAAAAGAAACTAGGGTACCACAGTAAGAGAAGAGAAATAACAGAAGAGCATGTTAGGTGTGGTCACTGCACAGGGGGGACCCCCTGTGTCTCAGAGTTTCAGAAAAGTTCGTACACACAGGATAACCACAGGAGACTGATGGGCAATATTAGTGGGAGGACGTGCCCTCTGGGTTTTGGTTGGATTCGGCCACTGGGGAACATTGCCAAGGGGTTGATCAGGAAAGAGAGAGACTTTTTTCCCCTCAGGTTTTGACTTTTGGGGGTCATCATGTTTTGTCTTTATCGCCTGGCTGAAGGGTACTGCAGGTGTTAGGTGGCTCTTTCTGTGTAGATATTTTTCATTTTAATGATTGCTTTCTTCCTTTGCTTCTGTAGGTTCCAGGATAGTAAAGTCATTGTTACTAGTCTTGGGGGCGGGTGTTGTAGGTATCTTATTATAATTTCCCTCCACTGCCCACATCTTTTAACATGATCTCTATATTAAAACTTCACAGGCTGCTGAGATGGCTCAGTAGGTAAAGGCACTTACCTTGAAAGCCTGGCCTACTGCATGCCGTCTCTTGAACCCATATAAAAGTAGGAGATAAACCGCTGTGGCAAAACTGTCCACTGACCTCAACACATGTGCCATGGCGCGCGCGCGCATGCGCGCGCGCACACACACACACACACACACACACACACACACACACACACACACACAAATAAATAACTCACAGAAAAGCCAATTTGAGTTCCAAGTTGTTTCTACCAGGACCTTGTTAGAAATAGTAATCATACGTTTGTTTAGAACAACTTTAGGTAGAGGGGTAGACTCTGCATTAGAAAGCAACATGAGAATGAAGGTACTGAGACCAAAGTAGAAAATCCTGGAATTTTGGCAAGAGATGGCTGGATCTGAACTTGGAATCTATGATGAGAAAGAGCAGGCATATACAAATCACTTGAAGTGGAACTATCATGACTTGATGCAGCCTTCACAATGAATCATATTAAACCTCAGCAACCAGTAGCTAGGCATCTCAGACCACTTCCCATCATCACAGCAGAATACATGAACCGAATAAAGTAAAAGGAGTTTATTTTGTTCATGGCTCTGGGGGCTGGAGGGTTCAAGGACAAAGTGGCAGCTTCTGGTGAGAGATGAGTACTGTGTCCTTACATGGTAGAAAGGTTGAAGGGCAAATACATGTACAAAAAAAGGGATGAAACAAGAGGGAGCCTTGCTTTATGACAACCCACCCTATGGAGACTGATGCAGTATTTGAGAGCAGCACCGAGGGTGCCCTGGGTACTTCCTCCATTGTCACACTGGAGATCAACTCATGGACTCTGGGGGATGAACCATAGCACACGGTTAGGGAAAACCCTTCCTTGCAGTTTTTCTTGCACCAGTTTAAGAATAAGTGATGATTTATAGGTAAGTATAAGAGAGGCAAGTAGAAGAGGTGCTCCCCAAACTTTTAAGTAACGTAACAGGGAGGTCGGCGCAGGGGACTTAGGAACAATTCGGGTTTTCATTGGTTTTATGGTCCTGTCCCACTGGGTCAGGATGGCATTTCTGGCTCCATCCCATTTTCCAGGGCCCATTAGGCGGTATTGGTAAGGGGAACATGGTCCAAAAAAAACTTCCCAAGCTAGTCTTGGATCCTTGATGAACAGAAGTGGGATATTGGGTTTTGAGCCTATGCACTGAGCAATCTCATCCAAGTAGGAAATGAAGTTGAGTTTGTCTTTACTGGTATCTTTAATCACACCCCTATGGGCAAAAAAAGATAAATAATATTCATTAACCACCCCCTGTTCTGCATTTCCTGAGTTATAAGATTTACTTCTCACCCTACCACTTTGCTACTGCTATATTAGGGTCAATCTTTAATTTGGGATTAAATTAAACTATGATGGAAAGTAAGACCGAGGGGAGTTTAGTTAGCAAGCATGTCTGTGAGGGCAAATTTGTTATAGGAAGCAGAAAGGAAAGCATTTAGAACATAAGAATGACAGGATGCTTAAGCCAGGTCTGTCCAAATAAGATGCTATTAATGAATGAACAGGATCAGAAAGCATTTCCTATATGGACAGGGAAAGGAATAATTCCAACTACCGGGGAATCTGAGGCAGGAGGATTACTTGAGTTCAGGAGTTGAAGCCTAGCCTAGGTAACATAACAAAAAAAAAAATAGTTCATATACAGACACCACAATTATATGATGGTCTTTAAAACTACAGGCCAGGATGAGGCCATCTGGGAGTGAGATCTAATTTTGGGGCTCATCAAATTTAAGGGGTGAGAAAGAGGAGACTGAGCAAATACAGATGAAACTCAGCCTGCAAGGTGGGATTTCCTGGGGCTGCGTGAAAGTGAGGCAGGAAGACAGGGTCAAATGCGCCGAGTCACAGGTAGCTGAATAGCATTTACTGATGTTTCCCTCATAGCAAGGTATACTTCATACCTTTTAATGAGCTGTTCCTTTTTAGTGCCTTCGGCCATCAGTTTCTGGGATGGAGGTATGTTACAGAGTCCTGGGAGGAAGATCAGAAGCAACAGTAAAGACATTAGCTTTCCTTCTTCTTAAGTTCTGCATCTTCTATTTCTGGCCTCCCTCTGCTCCCGCCTCGGAATTTAGTGTGGAAAAGCAGTACACAGGGAACTTCCTGGAGGTAAAATCCCATTAACTAGGGAACGTCATTGCCAGGTTCTCAGACGCTCAGCTCTGCCAGCCACACCAGACATCACATCTGCTCCAGCAGTTGCTGGAGTTCTCCCACATCCACTGTCATATTGCCTCCTTCTCCCTTTCAACACAAGCTATATAATATTGTGTAACACTCCTGTATGATTCTTGTGTGTGTGTGTGTGTGTGTGTGTGTGTGTGTGTGTTAAAGCCATTAGTTGTTTAAAGGGAAACATTTAGAGTCACCACTCTTGGAACCCTGTGAGGTCAGATGTGTTGTAGGAGGTAGTTTTGTTATTGGGAAGTCTCCTGTGTGGTCAGTCTCAGCCTCGGAGGAGCTCTCTCTGGTGTGTTGTGAGGACCACCTCTGTTGGAACATGGTCCAGGAATGGAGTAGTGTAAGGAGAAAACTGAGTGCTTGTGAGAACACTCCAAGAAAATGAGAGTCTTGTGACTTGAGTTTCTTCAAAACATGGAATTGTTCTTGGAACATGTTTTCATGCTCCTCTCAGGTGTAGTGGATAGGAGGGAGTTTACTTCAGACTACTCATTATTGATTGCTGCTGGTATTCAATTAAATGATCCTTTATATGTCTCTATGGGAAAAACATTTTTCTTTTGCCACGTGCAGCTTGTCCTTGTGATTGCACAGAGCTGGACTCGTGAGAACTTTACTTATGTGCTCTCTCTCTCTCTCTCTCTCTCTCTCTCTCTCTCTCTCTCTCTCTCTCTCTGGTTTTTGAGACAGGGTTTCTCTGAGTAGCCTTGGCTATCCTGGAACTCACTCTGTAGACCAGGCTGGCCTCAAACTCAGAGATCTTCCTGCCTCTGCCTCCCGAGTACTGGGATTAAAGACATGCACCACCGCCACAGGCCTATGTGACCTTTCTTAACCCTCAGAGTATAAACTGTCTGAGGTTTTGAATAAAGCTGGCATGAGAATTTAGTCTGCCTTATTTATTTGGCTCTAATCTCCCAGGTCTCACTGCTTCTAGAGCGGTGACAAACCTCCTTTGTAGGACAGTGGCAGAACTTGAACTCTGCCCCTGCTTATTTTAATTTTAGCCCATTGCATGGACTCTGACCTTTCTCAAGTGGCCCAGCTCCCAGCGTCTAAAATCTCATTCTGTCGCTTTGGTTTTCTGGAATTTTACCCTTACCTACTTTATGTGAAACTGTCATTCCCCCAAGCCCCCACCACAATCCCCCAGCTTCTCTTACTTGACTTAGGCTACTGGTGACCTTGAGAATCCACTCTGTCCCCCATCCTGTTCTGGCCAGTTCTGTCCTGCCTGGTACCAAGTGGCAACCCTAGAGTGTGGTGCATTATCCTCAGAGTAAGGTCTGATGCAGCTCTGTGCTGTGTTTTCTGCCATGGTTTTGTTATCTTGTCAAAAACTAGCAAGACTGTTTGCTGAGGTGCCTCTTGGAAGCTCTCCAGTGGACCACACAATTACTGATGTGGTATGAGCCAATCAAGCTGTGTCTTGTCAACTGTATCATTTTAATAAGTATTTTACAGCTCATTATGCATAAACAACCCCAGGTACTGAAGGGTCTTCTGTGGTTTTAATGTAATTGGATAGTGCTGTGAAAGCACTTTAATTGGCTTTAAAGAAATACAGATTTTTGATAATTTAATGAAGGGTTCAGATTCCTTTCCTGCAATATAAGGATCTTCTAAACTTGTCTTGCCCCCTCCTTTCATTCAGGTAGCGTGTTTGCAGTCAGGCCTTGTGGTGCAGGCCTGTAATTTGAGTTGCTCAAGAGTCTGAGGCAGGAGGATCACGAGTTCAAGGCCAGCTTGGAAATTCTAGTAAAAGCCTGTGTCCAAAAAAAAAAAAAAATGCTGACAATGTAGCTCAGGGGTAGAGTGTTTGCCTGACCCATGCAAGCCCTGTGTTCAAATTCCAGCCCTATAAAACACAGATTAGACAAACCCACATAAATAACCAAATAAATAAGTATAAATGGAATATTATGAACTTACGAGAGCACAGGCTGCTTTAAAAATATTTATTATTTTATGTGTATGAGTGTCTTGCCTACATGTATGTGCTGAATCCCTTAAAACTGGTCATAAGCTGCCATATAGGAATTGGGAACTGAACCTTTGTTCTTTGTAGGAACATTTTTACAGTTCTCGTAGGCTCTGAGTTATCTCTTCAGCCACAAGCACAGGTTTTCAAGTGAGGTTGGTGTGCTATTTCAGTTTACAGTGATTACTGGTGATTGTTTTTTTATTTATTAAGGATGCCTGCTTGGCCCAAATGTGAATGCTGTTTTTATATAAAAATAGCACAGATGCAGTCTTTATAACGTTTGCTAACCTAACTGTGTGGTAGGATGCCAACCGTAAGAGCAGCAGTTATCACTTAGTGGGTTTTCAAGGTGGCTCAAGTACTCTGCTAACTGCTTTGTAGAAAGTACCCATTAAAATAACCTTGAAAAAAAATACTTTATAGATGAAGAACCTGAGATCTTAAGAGTTCTTTACACAGCTAATGAATTTCGGTGCTGGGACCGGACAGCACAAGCTGCATCTCCGGTATCTTTAGCTTCTCAGAGCAGTAACTGACAGCGAGTGAGGTTAAATATTTTTTATAAGCATGTGTGAACAGTTATGAGACAGGAGGATAGAAAACAGGGAAAATTACGGGGATGTGGAATCTGGTTGAAGCCTCTCACCAAATGAGAATCAAGAATTCCTGCACAATTAATAATTGCTGTGAAAGCTGCCTACATAGACACAAGATTCCTTTAACATAGAAAAGAATGGTAAAATAGAAACAAGTCATGTTTTAAGGCCTAAACCTGTGCTACTTTGAAGAATGGCTTTGCTTCTTTCCTAGATGTTTTCTGTGAAGATCAAAGAGAAGACAGTTAAAACATGCCCTGTGAGTCTTCAGACCTGGAGCTTTTCCTTATCAGCTATACTTCTATCCAGGGCATCGGTCCTACCCTCTGAGTTCATTCAGGCTCCCCTGCAGCAATTCAGGATGAAACTTAAGAATCTAAAAGACCCACTATAGATGGCTACTGTAAAGACACTTGTCTGAAAAGCCAAGATGTGCCTTACTTTGCTCCCAAAAGCGTTGTTTAAAAAACTCCAGGCCTTGCCGGGCGGTGGTGGCGCATGCCTTTAATCCCAGCACTCGGGAGGCAGAGGCAGGCGGATCTCTGCGAGTTCAAGGCCAGCCTGGGCTACAGAGTGAGTTCCAGGAAAGGCGCAAAGCTACACAGAGAAACCCTGTCTCGAAAAAACCTAAAAAAACAAAACAAAACAAAACAAAAACCTCCAGGCCTGCTTCATACTGGCTCATCCTGAAATTCTTCTCTGTGGTGAAGCCAAGGATCTTTCGTTACCTGATTGGAGGTGTCTGTGATTAGCAAACAGCTCAGGCTATAGGCTGCAGTGTAGAGCAGTGCTCTGCCACACCTAATAGCCATTCTCCTAAGATCTTGATTTTATTCACAGGATGCATTATCTCAATATCATTCTTTGGAAGCAATATAAAATTTGGCTTTTAGTGACAAATGGTAAGACTGAACTAGAGGAGAATGGGAATTTTTAAATTTCAGTTAATCTAAACAATTTGATCAATTCAGCTACCCACTACACAACTCTGTTGTGTGACTTCATCCCCTCCACAGAATCAGCACAGCTTGCCCTCAGTCAGATAGAATGACCTAAGCATATCTCTTATACTGTCACACACATATATGATTAATTGCTCATTAAGCTTGCTTCTAGTAATTTATATTTAGCTCATGTCTGTTTGACTAGGTAAAAGGCAGGGTACTAATTTTAAGATTCAATTGATAGCATTTGTGTTTAAAGAGAGCAAACATACCTTTGAATACTCTTGTAGCCCATCGTGCTTGGAGCTCTGTGCCTGCTAAGATAGATCCTGTGAGGCTGATCAGGCCAATGATGGCTAATGTTGGTCTCTCCAAATTTGGGGGAAAGACACGCTTGTATAGCATGATCTTTTTTGTACAAAGGCTTTTGAGAGGTTCTTCAAAGAAAGGAAAAGAAAATTCATATCCTGTAGTGAAGATCACTACATCAATGTTGGCTTCTATTGTCCCATCTTCAAAGATGATAGAGGATTCTGTAAAATCCTTTATGCTGGTTTTCATAGTGACTTTCCCGCAGAGGATGCAGGTTGGTAGCTCATCATTCACGATAAGGTTTGGTTTTTTCCTTTGGCAGAGGAAAAAAATATTCACTATAGTTACCTACAAGGGACTTTTGCAAATAATTTCTTCAGTCGTTGAATTAAATTATCTGCCAAGTGAAGGAAGTGAGTTGACCAGTATCTAATTTGAAGTTGGCAATCTGATAAACAATCACTGTTTATAGAACATACTGTCTCTTTGCTCTTTGTAGAAGGTGTGTGGAAAATGACTCTTTCCTAAGTTGATTTACAATTCCCTTTTAAAAAATATCACACACATACATACACACACACACACACACACACACCACACACACACACACACACACACGTAGAAAGAAAGAAAGGGAGAGAGAGAGAAGGAGGAAAAATTTCAGGGGCTGGTTCTTCTGCATGTTTTGGGGACTGGACTCAGGTTCTCAGGCTTGGTAGCAGATGACTTTACCCCCAAGCAATCTCACCAGCACTTTATTTATAATTCTATCCATTGGAATTCACTTCTAGACCAGTGTTTTCGTTTCTTTTTCTTCCTTTATTTCTTCTTTTCCACTTTGGAGATTGAACCAAGGGCTTCACACATGCCAGGCAAGTGGTTTACCACTGAGCTATATACCCATAGCACAGAGATGCTTAAAGTATAAAGGTAGAGTATACAACTAATGATTTGATGATGAATTTAGGATTCCGTATCACTCAGGTCTCCAGAAGTTATATTAGGTCAAGAGGAAATCAGTAAGAAACTATTTCTCTAAAAATAAAAACTATTAATCTATTTACACGGATGGCTATTTTCATCATTATACAATCACATCAGACATGTGGTCTTTATAAAATTGAAAGCTCACATTATCATCTGCCACTTGTTTTTCTTGTAATTTAAAATAGATGTTGCTAAAGAATATTTGAGTTAGGCATATATTAATAATATATAATAATAATCACATTTAATGATATCACATGAAGTTCAAAGTTTTTTTCTTCCCAATATATAATTCTATAGAGTAGTATATTAAGATACATTATTTCAGGAACTCCTGTTAGGAATTCACACTTCTAATCATGGTTAGTCGAGACATTTATTATCACACGTATTGAGAGTCAATCATCTGTGTTCACTGATGCTACATGCATTGTATTTCTGGATAGTTGCAGTTTCAAGATGCCTCAAAGCCAAATTAAATTTCCTTCAAATTGGAAAGAAAAGTTTTCATCATTAACTTGATTCTAGCATTGTGAATTTACTACTGTTCTTATGAGACAGAGAATATGTCTATTTCAAGAACTACTGTGGAACTTTGTGGGCAATGTCTTTGTTGCTGTTTGTTTTTACTCTTTTTTTTTTTTGGTTTTTTTGAGACAGTTTCTCTGTGTAGCTTTGGAGCCTGTCCTGGAACTCACTCTGTAGCCCAGGCTGGCCTTGAACTCACAGAGATCCGCCTGCCTCTGCCTCCCGAGTGCTGGGATTAAAGGCATGTGCCACCACCGCCCGGCTGTTTTTACTCTTTTGTGGGGGCCTGCCACATAGCTCCCAAATAAATCACACACGGAGGCTTATTACTACTTATGAACGCCCAGTCTTAGCTTGGCTTTTTTCTAGCCAGCTTTTCTTAACTTAAATTATCCGCAACTATCTTTTGCCTCTGGGTTTTTCCTTTTCTATTCTTGTATATCTTTCTTTGTTTCTTACTCTGTGGCTTGCTTGTGTATCTGGGTGGCTGACCCCTAGAGTCCTCCTCTTTCTCTGGCTACGTCTTTTTTCCCTCCAGATTTCTCCTCCTATTTATTCTCTCTTCCTGCCAGCCCTGCCTATCCTTTCTCCTGCCTTGCTATTGGCCATTTAGTTCTTTATTAGACCATCAGGTGTTTTAGACAGACAAAGTATCATAACTTCACAGAGTTAAACAAATGCAACATAAACCAAAGTAACACACTTTAAAATAATATTCCTCAATATGTCTTAGGGAAATAAGTTTATAACAGGAAAAACTAAGACAGTGCTGTAGTGTTTGAACATGTAAAGTTCTGAATAATACAGTATGAGGAATGTTGATTTAAAATTTCCCACCAGAAACCCAAAGTAAACTGACAACAAGATGCTGTCTCACTCCAGTTAGAATGGCTATTGTTTTTCTAAAAAAAAAAAACAAAATAAAACCGTGGGTGAAAATATGGAAAAGAAGGAATACTTGCACTCTTGGTGGGAATGTAAATTATTCTCCAGCCATATATGGAGAACAGCATAGAGATGTTCTAAAACAACAATAAAAACTAACCAAACAACAAAAATTAAGACTAGATCTGTCATATGTTCTGTCTATCTCACTTCTGGGTATATATCCAAAAGTAATAAAATCAGCATTCCAAAGAGATATCTGCAAGCCCATTTTAATTGTGGCATTATTCATAATAGCTAAGCCTTAATGCTCATCAACAAAGCGTCACACACACACTGGAGTATTTTCAGCCTAAAGAAGAACAGAATCTTCCAGCTACAGAAAAACTGAGAAACTCAAAGAATATGTTACATAAAATATATAAAATAAAAAGGTAAGTATTGTACTTTCATTTCCATATGTGGAAGCTAAGATCAGAATAGTGATTATTAGAGATGGGAAAGATATCAGGGAAAGGAAGGATGGAGAAAAAAAGGTTATCTTTGAATGGTAGGTGCTATATGCATGTATGAAACTTCACTGATATATGAAATTTATACATATTAGTAAAAATAGTGAAAATGAACTAAAAATTTTCCATGAAATAAAAACTTAAATACCCTTTTGCAATTCTTAATCCATAATTCTCATAATTAAGTTGCAGCTGTTTATCAAAGTTTATAAAACACGAAGGCAGAACTTGTGCAATCACATTATACCATCTTCTTGTTAGCATCATATTGAAAGGGTAGCCACCCCATGAAGAGCGCCTTATAACCCAGGCACCAGTTCTAGTGCTGAGAAACACCTGAAAGAAAAACAAGACGGATAAACACATGCCCAACATTTTGAAGTCTTTTTTTCTTTGATGTGTTTCAAATTATATCCTGGTTTTCTAACATAGATTACATGTGACCATATGTTCTTGTTGCTATAATTATCCTAAAAACACATCACTTGATTTATATATGTTAAGTATCTTCAACATATCATTTATAGAATTATAAAAATAGGATTGTAATATTTGTGAGTATAATATGTTTGTCTGGTGATTCTGTGTGTGTTTGTGGCATACATGGGTGCAGATATGTGTGAATGAGTGTGAATATGTGAATGTGTGAATATGTTCAGAGGCCAGAGGTCAACCTCTGGTGTCATTTCTCAGGAGCTATCTACCTGTTTCTTTTGAGTCAGGATCTCTCATTTGTACCTGGGGCTCAAATATTAGGCTAGGCTGGCTGTCCAGTGAGCCCCAGGAATCTGCTTCCCCAGCAGTACACACATGCTGGCTTTTTATGTGGGCCCCGAGGATGGAACACGGATCCTCATGCTTTTGTGGCAAGTATTTAGTTGTGTGACTGAGCTAGCTCTCTAGGCTCTGGTCTGGCAATGTTTTTTTTTTTTTCTTTTGGCTTTTCGAGACAGGGTTTCTCTGTATAGCTTTGTGCCTTTCCTGGAACTCACTTGGTAGCCCAGGCTGGCCTTGAACTCACAGAGATCCGCCTGGCTCTGCCTCCTAAGTGCTGGGATTAAAGATGTGCGCCACCACCGCTTGGCTGGCAATGTTTTTTAAAAACACATGAATAATAGAGAACCAAAAGGTTTAGAAAAGAAATTGTAACCAAATTAAGTATAAATCTATTCTTTTGAGATCTAATAGTTTTCCTATAATATAATATAATATATGCACATGAAATAGATCTCTAACTTGTGAGTTGTTTAGAACTTCTAAAATCATCATGTATACTTAAAAATTGAAGACTTCTTCTATATTAAAACAAAGAACAGATCTGATTTCTAGTAGAAGCGTTGGAGTCTGTGGTAATTTGAATTTAATTGACTCCCATAAGCCATAGGGAGTGGCACTATTAGGAGGTGTGGCTTTGTTGGAGAAAGTGTGCAACTGTAGAGGTGGATTTTTGAAGTCTCCTATGCTCAAGCTACACCCAGTGTAGACACAGACTCCAGCAGATCAAGATGTAGAAACTCTTAGCTTCTTCTCCAGCACCATGTCTGCCTGCATGCCATGATGTGATAATAATGGACTAAACCTGTGAAACTGTAAGCCACCCCAATTAAATGTTTTCCTTTATAAGAGTTGCTGTGGTCATGGTGCCTCTTCAAAGTAATATAAACCCTAACTAATTCAGAAGCATTTGGCAAACAAGGTTACCATTAGATTCTAACATGGGATTTTGACAGAATTACAGAGGGTTTATGTAAAAGAAAGATGGCTAGGTGTTGGTCACCTGTAATGCCAGAGTTTGGAAGTCTGAAGCAAGAGACTTAGTGAGGCTACATAGTGATATCCTATTTCAATATAGAAAAGTAAGAAACAGTTGTGGGGAGATGGACAAAGAGTAGGTGTGCAGAATGGAGAGATGAAGACAAGGATGCAGAGAGGGAGGGAGAAAGAGAGGGAAAGAAGGAGAAAGGATGTAAATGAGAGCTTTGCCTTCTGTGGAATAGTTTGCCTAATTGGTTTTGTCCCCTAAAGATCATTTTTTGAACAATGCCTGTGATTAGGCATTCACATAGTTTTTCTGGAGTCTTTTGGACATAGTCAAGTTGTGTAAAGTACATCTCCTGAAATAGGAGACCAAGAGTAACTTTGGGGCTTTTCCTCACTTACCTCATGCCAACATAATTTACCAGTTGGGAGGGTGTTTGCAGTCTTGGTAACTTCTCTGTAGGCACTACCCGTGCTGATAAGAGCGGAGACACTGATTTAGAAATAGTGTACCTGAGCTGCTGTTCTACTGAGCTCCACTGCGATGTCTCCTCCAGTGTTCCCAAGACCAACCACCAGGATGCGCTTGCCCTGAAAGGAATCCGGAATCCTGTACTCCTGGCTGTGTAGGATCTGCCCTTTAAACTTATGGATTCCTGAGGGAAGGGAAGGATGAAATGACCTGAAACGTTTAAGCTATAATTCTGCAGTCCACAATGATAGGGAAGTCCCAGAAACCCAGAAACACGTTGCTTGCATCACTACTTAAGGAAGGAGAAGCATGAAGAACAAGTCTTCCGGGAATTCAGTGAGCCCAAGTACAGATCTCTTACAACCTGCCGTGTTAAAAATACCGATCAGTGCTGGAGAGATGGCTTAAGATGGGTTAAGATGCTTATTGAGAAGCCTGACAACTTGGGTTTGATTCCCAGAAACCAATGGTGGAAGGAGAGAACTGACTTTTGCAATTTGTCCTCTGAAGTCTGTATGGACACTGGGGTATGCACACTGTGAATATGCATGAACATAATATAGTTCTTGTAAAATAAGCCCATGGATAACATCATATCAAATGGAAAAAAAATTGAAAGCATCCCTGTACCCTCTAGGTTGGAGCACAGGTGCCTGTGATTACTACTTGTCAGTGGACTACTGAATTCCTAGCTAGAGAAGTAAAGCAAGGGAAGGAATAAGGGCATTCAGTTTGGAAAGAAGGAAGTTTTCATTGTTTGCCCATATTATGATTTTCTGTACAGAAAACACCATAGATTTCCCCCCCCCCCCGAGAAACCTCACAAAAGACCAATTAAGCAAAATTGTAGGATACTAAACCAACATACAAAAATCAGTATTATTGCTGTATATCGATGGAAAAAGTTCTGACATAGAAATTAATAAAACAATTCCACATATAATAGCTACAACAAAATAGCCTAGAATAAATTTAATCAAAGAGGGACATGTATAAAAACATTGATGAGGAGTCAAAAGTGGGTGCAGTGGGTTAAGGGGACATGCCATCAAACCTGACGATCCATCTGAGTTCAGTCCGAGTTCAAACCCAGACACCATTTTGAATGCTGCTTCTTGAGAAATTATGGGTTGAATTATCACTTGATTCCTATAACTAAACTTATTTTTTGTATAGGATATTCTATTTATTTGTAATTGATTTTTTTTAAAAAGAATTCTGAGAGATGGCTCAATGAGCAAGAGTGCTTGTTATGCAAGCATGAGGATCTGAGTTTGGACCCCAGCCCCCCTGTGAAAAGCTGGCTATGGCCTCACTTATGCCTGGATCCCAGGTGCTGTGGGGGGTGAAGACAGGATGCTTCCTGGGGCTTGCTGGCTATCAGCCTAGCGGGAGGGCCAGCGAGAGACCCTGTCTCAAAGGAATAAGGTGGAAAGTGATAAAGCAGGGTACCCAACAGCCTCCTCTCCCCTTTGTGCATCTGCACACAGGCACTTTCACAAACACTGTGTAGATGACGCACAACAAATACTATGATCACAAGAGCATATAAAAAAATAAAGGAAAACATTCAAAACTTTACTCACTAATTGCTTTCAAGGTCACTCCGAACTGGCAGAACAGGAGCAGTTTTATTACATTTTAGTAATCCTCACTTCCCTAACTTTGTCACACCTGAATTTGAGTGGATGCCAGCTTTCTAAATAACTGATTATGACCTCAAAGATGAAGGTTTGCCAATCACGAGTATGTCGAAAAGAATGTGTTGAACTGTTTTCAAAGGGGATTTCAAAGCACCCTGATCTGAGAGGTGTAATAGGCAATTTTAAAGAGTGAATGTATTAATTTAAATATATAATTTCTGGTTCATTTTCTTTAAAAACTATCTGCCAAGCTTTTGTATTCTCTTACTTCAAGTTTTTAAATAATAGATCAGCTCTGATTCAAATGACCTATGACTCAACTCCCCAAATTAAAGCCTTCTTAAAAATGACAGATCTGATACTTTAAGTCTTATTTGATCACTATATTGAAGTGGGCATGTATGATAAGGCTCCAACCACAGCATTTATATTAGTACATAAATAGTAAAACTGTACACAAAACAGTACTTTTTAACCATTCAAAGTAATTTTGTGCATATAATTTCCAAGCAAATACAAAAACATTGTCTATAAGCCTGCAGAAGTATTTTCAGTTATGAGCAAGTCATTTTTCTTCTAGGAGAACTGAAAGAGTATTGATGATCTCAGGTAGAAGTGACTCACCAGGGAAGGACTCCAGAGGTAAATGGGGGCTCAGGAATTGCCCGGTACAAACCATGACAGCATCAAATACAGCTCTGGCCTGTTTGCCCTCTGTCTCTGTGACAACATCCCACTGGCCAGTTTCAGAGAAGTCTGGGCGTTTTGTTACACTGCACACAGTAGTCTACAAACAAAAGACAATTTCCTTTGACTCTCACACAGTGACTGGTATAATAAGCACCTGCTATTTCAAGTAGGATCAACTGATGATCTAAACAAGGTTTGTAAATATCAGTTGTCTCATTCTTAGAGAAATTAAGTAACATGCATGTTCTCACAGGTGCTCCTATGTGGATCAGGACGTAGGACAACTGAATCCCTTCATTGAAAGGATAAAGCAGGACTTTTTTTCTTTGTGAGAAGGAAGTGAATTATAATTCCTGATGCATTGGGAAAAGCCAGGAAAGCAAACTCTCCTCTACCATACTTTGTATGTTGAGAGTTGTAGTCATTTCTTCGCAATGGGTTTCATAAATAGATTTATTCTTACTTTATTCTCAGGAAAAAATTCAAAGTTGTATCCTAAATGAGAGTGTGGTGGTTTAAATAAAACTGGCCCTCATAGACTCGTGTTTGAATGCTTGGCCTATAGGGAGTGCCACTATTAGGAGGTGTGGCCTTGTTGGAGTGGGTGTGGCCTTGTTGGAGGAAGTGTGTCACCATGGAGGCGGGCTTTGAAGTCTCAGATGTTCAAGCTATGCCCAGTATGGCACACAGTCTCCTTCTGCTGCCTGTGGATCAAGATGTAGAACTCTCAGCCCCATGTCCAGCACCATGTCTGCCTGCACACTGCCATGTCCTGCTATGATCCACCATGATGATAATGGACTAAACCCCTAAAACTGTAAGCCAGTCCCATTGAAATGTTTTCCTTTATTAGAGTTGCTGTGGTCATGGTGTGTCTTCACAGCAGACTTTGACATTCAGAGGAGGAATTAGGAAATTCAGTATTTTAATAATTTGAGTAAGGAACAGTGAGGAAATTCTTATTCAAATCAAGATAAAAATCAAAGAAAAGTTTACTTTAATCATCTCATTTCCATTCAATTGCTGACTGGGCTAGCTTCCATTCATGAACTTTCCATAACCCAAACTATCTTACCTTAAACTGAATATATTTCAGGAGGCCAAAGTGCTCAGCAAATTCTCTAAGATAGTTCCAGAATTTCTCATGGTCCATGAAATTGGGGTAATCTTCTCGGTATGGGAAGTCACTGTAACATGACATTTCCTTGCAGACATTTGTCACTAGTGACTTGTAGACCCTGGTCATCCCATCCTTGGAATTTTCCTGTAGTGGAGGTATAATTAGTCTGGAGGAAAGAAGGAAAAATGCGGAAGAGAACGCTGGTTGCCTTGGTGGTTCATGGGTGTCCAACTGAAGGGGGTTCAGAGAAATTAGCATTCCATTTGTAATTTTAAAGAGTTCTAGACCCAGCATTGGACACCCATGCTGTCATGATAAGACATCCTTATTGGGACTGGAATAATTAAGTGCAGTTATCTTTGCCCCATCACAAATAAGCTGATGACAGTACAAAATTGTCCTTCCATGATTTCACAGATGTAAAGCTCATGGTCAGTCTTGGGTGGCTGTTCCTTCTTCACCTGTCATAGTGACTTCCTCTACTCCCTCTGGACATTTCTTTCCTTGCCTTTCTCTAGGGAACTGCTTGATAGTTTTCCTTATTACACTCGGTGGATATTTACTGATTGTATTTTTTCCATTAGCATTAAAAATTTTGAGGACTCTAATATTAGGAACAAAACCCAGCCCCCCTCATTAGCCTTTTCTCCCTCCCTTCTATCTCAACTGTCAGGAAAGATTCATCATGGGCAGGTAACATCTGTTTCCTCCTGTATTCCTTAACCCACTCTTTTTCTTGGTCTCTAATACTCACAAACAAAATAGCAAAAGCATCTATATTCTAGGCACTAATGAACTTCATATGTCTGAAGCCAATCTCCATTTCTCTCTCAAGTTTCTTCTTTTCCTGTCACTTTGTCCTGAAGGCCTTTCAGGACTTAATTAAGGGTTTGCAGGGGGTAACTGTTGGGGCCCCATAGAACTGGTGACCTGAACTTTAGAGCTTCTCATGCTGCATTACAACAACCTCCTTACTGTTTCTGTCCTTTTCTCGACTATGTGGAGGGTGGTGGGGTCCCTGCCTGTTTTGTGTGCCATTGTATCCTGGCAGAGGGACATGATAGGTACATGTTGAATGAATGAGTCTTCCATAAGATCTGAACAGGGTCTGGGAGTTGGATTGCCACTGCTTTTACTCCGACTTCATCCTCACAAGTGTGTAATCCTCTTTATTTACCAAGACTGTCCAGCTTGCAGGATGTGGCACTTTGCTACCTTTAGAATTTCCAAGTACAGAAATCATCACAAACTTCCAAACTATGTGGATCTTACATTATCAGATTCCACTCTTTTTTTCCATTCTCTTTTCCATGTCCTTGCCTATGCCTTGCCTATTTCTAAGGCGCCTTACATCTCAGACTACGCTCCACACAGCATTTATCATGGCACCACACACATCTTTAACTTGATGCAGTGAACTCCTGTTTGGATCACCAAGTGAACAGAAGCAGCCCATGACTGGATTATGATTGCTGAGATAGGAAGATGTGAACTACGCACAGCAAACTTCCACAGTCCCCCGAAGTCATTACTTCTCTCAAAGCAGGTGGGTTCCAGGCCCTCATCCAAGCAGCACTTGATAGATGACAGGCCACTCACACCGGCTCCAATCACTGCAACTTTCTTGGCCATGGTATGCTCTGTGTGAAGGTCAAGGAAAGGTTTGTATGGTTGACCCCTACAATCTTGTGCTGTACACAAAACACAAGGTGTTCCTGTTTGGGAGAGGATAGAGACCAGCCCCGGGAGGAGCCGGGGAGCATTGAAGATTTGAGGGAACTGAGAAGGAAGGGAACTAAGGAAATGAAGAGATCTGAGAGAGCTGAACTGGTGATTGAATGATGGTGACTGACGAATAAATGAATTGAACGAAAGAGCTCTGAGCAACTGGATTCATTCCCGTCCCGATGGTAGTGTCTTTCCTGGGCCCCTGGATTTGTATAAATTTAAGGCTGGACCCTTAAATATTATACAATAGGACCTGGGTTCTATTCCCAGCACCCATATGATACTACACAACTGTCTGTAACTCCAGTCCTGGAGGATCTAATGTCCTCTTCTGACTTCCTTGGGAACCTCTCATGCACATGCTTCACATACATAAATGCAGGTAAAATGCTCATATATACAAAAATAATAAACTTCTAAAAATAAAATAAAGTTAATAACCTAAAGAAAATATTTTGAAACACAGAAAATACTTCTATGCTTAATATGTAAAATAAACTTATAAATTAATAATAAAAAAGAAAATGTGTATGAGAAAAGAGTCTGTTTTCAATAAAAGGGAAAAAAACAATAAAACAATATACCAATTGAGCAAATTGACATGGATGGGCAATTTATACAAGAATAGTATCAGTCAAGAAGTACATGAAACCTGTTTGATCACATTGATAATACCAAGCCTGGGGTAATAGTTTCCAGCTTTCAGATATGAAGTTTGGAGAATGGGCCTATGTTCAGTAACTTAATACACACACTGCAGTAGAAGCAACTCTGTATGCATGCACCGCTCGTCACAGTAGAATTTGCCTTGGGGAACTAAGAGAGGATGTGTGTATGATGCCCACAGGTCCAGCAAAAGAAACCCAGCATGAGTGTTCCTCACTGCTGATATCTGCACCACTCTGAGAGGTGAAGTCTGCCCACAGGTGGCCGTCTGGTGCTTGAGCCAGCATGGGCGTGCTGCTGAGCTGAGAGCCTGAGGAGTTCCACCACCCAGTCACTGAGGTTCTCTCTTCCCCTCTGCTCAGGTTTGAGGGATTTCCCAGGGCTTCCTGTTCCAAACATACTGGTATTCAGCCTTCCATGAGTTTGGGTGTCTCCATACCTGGCTCACTGTGTATTTCCAAATTTGTACCTCTTCTGTTTCAACTGAGTTCAGTTGGGAGTCTCTTAGTTTGGAGTGAGTTAGGGTGAAAGGAGAATGGACTTCAGAAGCAGCAAAATAAGGTTTTAACTTTACTTAATAAGAATGGACCCATACACTCATATATTTGAATGTTTAGTTACCAGGGAGTGGCACTATTTGAAAAGATTAGAAGGACTAGGAGGTGTGGCCTTGTTGGAGGAGGTGTGTCACTGGGGGTGGCTTTGAGGTTTTGAAAGCCCATGCCAAGCCCAGAGTCTCTCTCTTTCTGCTTGTGGATCAGGATGTAGCTCTCATCTACTGCTCCAGTACCTGACTGCATGCTGCCATGCTTCCTGGCATGATAATAATGGACTCACCCTCTGAAACTGTAAACAAGCCCTCAATTAAATGCTTTCTCTTGCGAGAGTTTTGGCCAGGTGGTGGTGATCCACACCTTTAATCCCAGCGCTCAGGGAGGTAGAGGTAGGAGGATCTCTGTGAGTTCGAGGCCAGCCTGGTCTACAGAGTGAGTTCCAGGAAAGCCAGAGCTACACAGAGAAACCCTGTCTTGATTACCCCCCCCCCAAAAAAAAAGGCAAGTTATTGACTTGCCTCCCCTCCAAACAACAACAACAACTGACCAAAACACTCTCAGATGTACTGCTGGTAAAATAAGAAAAATACCTATGTTAATGGACTGTGTAAACAATATCATATTATTTACATAAAAGGACCCATCACAAAATATTTACATGCTGTTCATTCTCTACAAGATTGTTTCCTTCCTTCCACCCTTTCTCCTCAGGAGAGAGTGTTTCTGTGGACAAATTTTACCAACAAGTTTGGAAACATGAAAACATGGCAAACATACCTGTGGATTCTCTTTTGAGTTGAGAACACCTGGATTGCTACTAACAAGGGACAAATGGCCTTCACCGAGAAGAACACTTGAACTGCTAGTCCACTAAGTGAAGGTCTGAAGCTGTCAGATCTCTGCTCTGCTGTGTCTGAGAAGGGGTTGTTAGTTAAACTGGTAAAGTGAAGAATACGCAAGTGGAATAGACTAGCAGCAAAGGATTCCATTCACTGTTGTGCCCCTGGGACTCTCGGTGCAGGGACTGAGCCGAGAGTGGGAATATGACAGAGACTCAGTGACTACATCTGAGAAATAGTCTGAGGAATAACAAAAGCACCGAGCCAGGCTGTGACCTGACACTAGGAGGAGAGAGGCAGACATTCAGATGGCACTTGTGGTAGGTCCTGTGACAGCAGCTGGCCCTGGTAAAGTCCCGGCGGAGTGTCTTTTCCCAGTCTAGAGTGGACCATGGGGTAAAACTGGACTGCAGTACCGGTTTCTTCAGGGCTGATTATTAGTGATAGAGGCACGTTTGTACACTTCAGTATTGGTATTTAGGTACCATGACCTTCTGATGGAGGTAGTCATTTGAGAGTGTGCTTTATATCGGTAAGGGAAGGTCATGGGATGGAAATGCAGAGACCTGAGTTCTATATGTTTCTGCCTCTAACCAGGTATGTGACCTTGGCCGAAATTCTTGAAAAGTACAGTTAAAGTAGCTTCCTCTTTCTATCAAGTTTGGAAGTGTTGTGTCTGAGACCAAATTACTCGTAAAATAAAAAAACAAATCCACAAATGAAAGAAAGGGGGAAAAAAAAGCAACACAACCCCCAAACAAAAAACCCAAAACCCAACAAACAGCCAAGCAAAATCCAGAGCCAAATAACCAGCTCTGAATTCAAACTAGAAGGGCTAAGAAAATGCACCATGTGCCAGCTCTGTCAATGGTAAAGAATGCTAAAACATGAGAAATACTGGGTTGTTCTCTGGCTAGAAAGGAGGCCCGAAGTTCTGAACTTAGATCTTTGTACAACTGCAGAACTCCACCTCATACCTCTGCAGCCAGCAAATACTTTGGAGATATGGAAAGACACACGCGACTAGCGGATCGCACAATCTACTAGGGTTTCTCAGAGATGGCCATTTGATGATGAGCTCATTCAACCCAAGATCACTGTGCTCTGCTGTGCTTTTCCTGTTTGGGTTTCCAAGTGTCACTCATTTCCAAGTGTATCATTCTAAGACCAGCCCGAGTCAAAGTAGGATCACCGAAGGACCCATGGCTGTGACTGACACAGGGTCTTTCTGTTGGATGACCTACTCCACCTATGCTCTGTTTTCTGTCCTCCTTAATTCTACTGCCCTAACCTCAGGCAACAGGCTTCGGAAGCAAGTCACTCCTGCAAAATCACTCTCTCCATTCACCCTCTGCAAGAGCAGTTTCTGGAAAAATTTCCTCTTGAAGGCAAAACAATCCAGGGCACTTACCTGGCAAGCAGAGAGCAGATCCTTGGACTCAAAAGTCCAAGGTGAGAAGTCAAAAGTGGTGTTTGTTTGATGACGCAAGGAAGAAGTTTCTATCTCAGAGCCTTGTTTTAAGAAGACAACAGATTTTGATCATACTCTTCTCAGTTTAACACAAAAGCCAGTTGCTTCTTCTACTATGCTGTTGACAACAGGGAGTTGTGTTAATACGAACTTGACACTTCCGCAATCTCCGGGGAGGGGAGGGCTGGGCTGAGTGACGACTCAGAGTGCAGCTTTCAGATAGGAAAGAAAGGAGTCCCGCCTCTTTCCCACACCCTCAGCTGGATGAGAGCACTTCAGGGCACTGAAAGGCCATGCTGTTATCATTGCTGCCTTTAGAGGGCGCCAAACTCTCATCCTTCTTAGCGACACCCTGACTTCATTCTCTGTCTTAATTATATATTTTTATTCTTGGAGACTTTTTTTTTTTACATGTATTCAGTGAAATATGATCATATCTGCCCACTACTCCTTGCCAACTTCCCTCACCCTCCAAATATATTCCAGCATAATGGCTTCATTTTTAGTTTGATAACGTAAGTACACTAAGTACTGCCCGTATGTGAATGATATGGGTTCATTGACTGGAGTATGGGGAACCTACCAGTGGCCATACCTTCTAAGAATGATTCTCTTCTTAAACCAACATAGAAGCTATGAAAAAAAAAAAAGAGAAAATAATCCAGGCCACCACATTTTTTTTTATGCTTGGTGTTCTCTCTCTCTCTCTCTCTCTCTCTCTCTCTCTCTCTCTCTCTCTCTCTCTCTCTCTCTCTCTCTCTCCTTTCTCTTTCCCCTTCCTCCCTCTCTTCCTCCCTCTCTCTCCCTTTCTTTCTTTTTCTTCAAGACAGGGTTTCTCTGTGTAGCCCTGGCAGTCTTGGAACTTGCTCTGTAGACCAGGCTAGCCTCAAACTCACAGAGATCCACCTGCCTCTATGTCCTGAGTGCTGAGATTAAAGACATGCACCATCACTGCCTGATGCTTGGTATTTTCTAACTACAGATTTGTGGTCTGGACTTTTAGGGTTCACAAGTGGGTGTGTCCTTCAGATTGGGTCAGCAGAGGGGCCTGTAAAAACTGAGGACATAAAATCCTCTCTAGACGTTCACCTGGTCTCAGGAAGAGCGACTGAGGAAGCAGTAGTGGTAGTAATACCAGGGAATTAGGGCTTGTTCTTACTTCCTCTCAGTGCTTGCAAGCCACCATAGTGATGGTGGTCCATCTAGGCTTGTTGCTGAAGGAAGTTCTTCACCATGGTTCACTGACCATTTTCTGAACCGGAAGTCAGAAATGCAAACACGTGGAGGAGTCAGGAAGGCAACATGAGTAAAGGTGGATAGATAAGACCCTACTGGGAAGCCCAGTGGTCTGCTCAGTTTAGCTAAATGCTGTCACTTGGGAGCAAGAGCCTAATATCTCAAGGCTCTAGGCTCTTTTCTTTCTTCCTTTTGAGACAGGATCTCTCTATGTGCTCTCTGTCTTTGTAGCCTTTCAATTTTGCTATCCTTTTGTGTGAACTTTACCCAGTGCTGAGATTACAATCACATGCCACCACCCTAGTTTGCAGGTAAAATACGTTTTAGGGCTTTAGCTGTACTTCCCTCTGTGATTTCTGAATGCAAGCACCACTTATAACAGTGGGATTTGCCTTGGTAACCAGGAGAGCACGTGTGTATTGTGCCCGTGGGCCCAGCAAGAGGAACCTAGCATGAGCGTTCCTCATTCTGATATCTGCCCTGCTCTGAGAGGCAGAGTCAGTCTACAGCTGCACCTCCGGCCCAGGAGCCAGCATGGGCGTGCTGCTGAACTGAAGACTTGAGGTGTCCTGTGACCCTGTCACTGAGGCTCTCTTTTCCCTTCTGCTCAGGCTAGCTGTCGCACCATCAGGTGGGCTTGGGGGACTCTGTCTCTGTGGCTTTGTAACTTGCCTCACAGTCAGGTCAGAAGCACCAGGTACAAATACAAAGTGGATTTGCTGAGTAAAAGGAGCCAGGAGAAATTCTGAGTCCTCAGACTTCCCAGACTCCATTGGTTGCAGTGAGGGATTTCTCAGCGCTTCCTGTTCCAAACTTACCCATTGAGAAGTTGGGGTGGGAGGTTTCCTGGCTCATTGTGTATTTCCAAATCTGTAGCCCTTCCATTTTAACTGAGTTTATTTGGGAGTCTTTTACTTTATAGCAAGCTAGGGTGAAAGGAGAATGGACCTCAGAAATAGCAAACAGGGTTTGAACTTTGACTAATCGTTGGACCCAAAGAAAACTAGAAAAACACTCTGAGATACAGTATTTGTATAAGAAAAGATAAATCCCAAAGCTGAGAGTGCTGATTCATAACTGTTATCCCTGTGCTCAGTTGTCTGATGTTAAAGGATTGCAGTGCATTTGAGATCAGTTTGGATTACGTACTAGTACCAAGCCAGACACAGCTACATAGCAAGACCTCATAAAACCCAAAGAAGAGTAAAACAGGAGAAGAGAAAAAACCCACATCAAAGGATTGTGTCTTAAACAAAGCGCTGAGCACAAGAATATTTACTTGGTGTCCATTCTCGGATCACTCATCGCCTCCTGCCCTACCTCCTCTCTAGAAAAGGTATCTCACAGAGTTAGGTTTAACATGGGATGTGAAAACAAGTAGGCAAACACAACTGTAGATTCCCTTGAGTTGAGAAGGAGCCACCATTTGCTTCTGTGCTGGCTGGTGGTGTGTGTGTCAACTTGACACCAGCTAGAGTCATCAGAGAGAGAGAGAAGCCTCAGTTGAGGAAAGGTCTCCATGGTACTAAGCTGTAAGGCATTTTCTCAATTAGTGATCATCAGTGGTAAGTGGTGCCATCCCTGGACTGGTCCTGGGTTCTGTAAGAAAGCAAGCTGAGCAAGTTAGGGGAAGCAAGCCAGTAAGCAGCACTCCTCCATGGCCTCTGCACCAGCTCCTGCCTCCAGGATCCTGCTCTGTTTGAGTTCCTGTCCTGTCTTCCTTCAACAATGAACATTAATGTGGAAGTGTAAGCCAAATATACCCTTTCTCCCCCAACTTGCTTTTTGGTCATCGTGTTTGGTCACAGCATTACAAACCCTAAGAGAGTTTTTTAACCAGGAACAAATGGCCTTCACCAAGAAGAACACTTGAATTGCTAGGCCACTAAGTGAAGGTCTGAAGTTGTCAGATCTCTGCTCTGCTCTGTCTTTCAAAGACACAAGAGAAGTGGTTGTTGGTTAAATTGGTAAAGTGAAAAGTATACGAGTGAAATGGACTAGCAGCAAAGGAATCCATCTACTATTGTGCCCCATGGACCTCTCAGTGCAGGGAGTGAGTATGGACCCAGGGATAACTGAGATTCAGTGGGTAAATAAAACCATTAGTATCTAAGTGAGGCAACACCGTTTGGGTCAAACTGTATTAAGTCACCAAGTAATGTAGCTTGAGTTTTCCTGCCTGGCCCACAGTCAGGACAAATCTCTCTCACCTGCCAGTCCCACAGCAGCTCAGACCCAACCAAGTAAACACAGAGACTTATATTGGTTACAAACTGTATGGCCGTGGCAGGCTTTTTGCTAACTGTTCTTATATCTTAAATTAATCCATTTCCATTAATCTATACCTTGCCACATGGCTCGTGGCTTACGGGCATCTTCACATGCTGTTTCTCATCATGGCGGCTGGCAATGTCTCTCTGACTCAGCCTTCCACTTCCCAGCTTTATTCTCCTCCTTGTCCCGCCTATACTTCCTGCCTAGCCAATGGCCAATCAGTGTTTTATTTATTGACCAATCAGCAACACATTTGCCATACAGAACATCCCATAGCAAAGTAAGGTCCTGGCTGCTACTGAATCCTCTCTGAGAAAAGAAAGTATTTATACCCAAAGTATTCCTCATATCTTCATGATGTAAGCTAATTGTCTTAGTTGGGGTTTCTATTGCTGTGAAGAGACACCATGACCATGGCAACTCCTATAAAGGAAAAACATTTAATTGGGGCTGGCTTATAGTTTCAGAGGTTCAGTCCATTATCATCGTGGCAACACTCAGGCAGACATGGTGCTGGAGAGGCACTGAGTGTTCCACATCTTGATTCACAGGCAGCAGGAGAAGTTTGAGCCAGTAGGCCTGGTTTTGAGCTCAGCCCCCTGGTGATGCACTTCCTCTAACAAAGGCATACCTACTCCAACAAGGCCACACATCCTAGTAGTGCCACTCTCTATGGACAAAGCATTCAAGCACAAGAGTCTATGGGGGGCATTACTATTCAAATCATCACATTAATCATGGCCCAAGTGTTACCATCCATTATTTTTCTTTGTTGAACTATGGTTTTAACTAAATATGCTCAGAAACATACAGTTGAATTGAACATGACTGGGAATGTGCTGGCCACTAGTGTATTTTTCTATGTGAATCTGTCTAGAATCTTTGAATAAAATCCTCATTTTCTTTGTTGGAAAAAGACATTGCTTTGAAGTAATTTCCATGTTCTCCTTAGGTGCTACAGCTAATGAAGTCTTTTCCCATTCTTTTATTTCTTGGTCTCCCTTGTTTGGGCTTTGAACTCATCTAGGTGTGAGCCGTTGAGTTTGGTTACACGAACAGTAAAATCTGGAGACAAAGCAAAAGATTTTAAGCTGAATGGAGAGACCCATGAAAATAATAATGTGGAAGCTCTCTAAAGTCAGTATGCACCAGGTACGATGCTGTCAAACTCTCTTTTCCCTGTTTAAAGAGTTGTGGGGCTAAATGGGTTTAGGTAAAAATACTTTCTTTGTTTTTTTTTTTATCCAAAATATATTTGTTGGGACAGTTTCCTGCTCATCTTGATCCAGGGTGCTTTCAGTGTGTTTCTTCCTAAAGGACCAGTCTCTTACAAGTCTTACTTTTCTTCCGGCAGTCTGGCATAGGGCAGTGGAATAATCATAACACAAGGCTACTGTCTTGTTCACTGTTCTATTGCTGTGAAGAGACACCATGACCAAGGCAACTCTTATAAAAGAAAACATTTAACTGGAGCTTGCTTACAGTTTCAGAGGGTGAGTCCATTATCATCATGGTGGGGAGCATGGCAGCTCACAGGCAGACATGGTGCTGGAGAAGGAGCTGAGAGTTCTCTTTCGCTGCCTGGATCCACAGGCAGCAGGAAGAGAGAGTCACAGTGGGCCTGGGTTTGGCTTTTGAAGCCCACCCCCAGTGACAAACTTTCTACAACAAGGCCACACCT